TATATACACACGCACATTCACATACATTATAAAAGACAGTAAAAGTTATCTAAGGATGCCAGCAGACTGTGTTGAATCAAATGAAGTGAATGAAAGAGAAAGAAGAGTAGAGGTCATAGAAACTGTGGACCTGGAAGTGGGTAAGATTAATGAGGGTGAAGTCCGGAAAGCTCTGAAAAGAATGAAGAAGCGGAAGGCAGTAGGGCCTGATGACATACCAATGGAGGTTTGGAGATGTCTTGGAGAGATGGCAGTGAGGTTTTTGATTCAAATATACAATGGCATATTTGAGGGTGAGAAAATGATTGAGGAATAGAGAAGAAGTGTGCTGGTGCCGGCAACACGGTGGCGCAACTGGTAGAGCTGCTGCCTCTCAGCGAGCAGGTCCTTGGTTCAAACCCCGGTCCAGGGGCCTTCTGGATGGAGTTTGCATGTTCTCTCCGTGCATGCGTGGGTTTTCTCCGGGTACTCCGGTTTCCTCCCACAGACCAAAAACATGCATGTTAGGCTAATTGGTAACTCTAAATTGTCCCTAGGTGTGAGTGAGAGAGTGAATGGTTGTTTGTCTCGTTTGTCTCTATGTGGCCCCGTGATGGACTTGTGACCTGTCCAGGGTGTACCCCGCCCCTCGCACAGTGATTGCTGGACATGGGCACCAGCGACCCCCATGACCCAAAATGGAATAAACGGGTAAAGATAATGGATGGATGGATGGATGTGCTGGTGCCCATTTTTAAGAACAAGAGTGATGTACAGAGTTGTAGTAACTACAGGGGAATTAAATTGATGTCACACGATGTAGATCTGGAAGAAAGTTGTGGAAGCAAGACTTAGACGAGAGGTGACTATCTGTGAGCAGCAGTATGGTTTCATGCAGAGAAAGAACACCACAGACACCATCTTTGCTTTGAGGATGCTGATGGAGAAGTACAGAGAGGGTCAGAAAGAACTCCATTGTGTCTTTGTGGATTTAGCTAAAGCATATGACAGGATGGATTTTTATGTAGTTATTTTTTTTTAACAAGCTAACAAGCTTCATGCCACCAAAACATTTAGCTTCGTCATTCTTGTGCACTCACAGAGCTGCCCAGTACACGTCTCTTTTGGGGGGTGGGTCCTTGTGACTCAGTGAGACTACCAGTATAAATAAAGGTTAAAAAAAAATCTGACAAATTGGTTTCATCGGTCCACTGGGGGGGTGGGGGGACTCTCCTTCCCTCCCCCTTGTCCCCCTAGGGAGACAGGCATAATGTGCAGAAGGAAGATGAAGATAGTGATCAATGACTTCCTGGTAGGCTACTGTATTTAAAAAAAATAAAATAAAATTACCAGCTGTGTTACCGGCACTTACAGAAAAAAACGTATACTGTATGTATTTGTGTATGTTACTGGTACATATTGTAGCATTTTGCTGTGGTTGACTGTCAGTCACATGGCCTCAGGGAGGGATTATGGGTAGAATTTATGTTCATTGTTAATCATTTCTGTTAGCTGTTCAGCAATGGTCTTTTAGTGATTAGTCCGTTCTTGTTTCTTCTCAGGCTCTGAGATCATCAGACCAGCTGCTTTCGGTTGTAACCAGGTTGAAGCTCAGATATTTTATGTTAGCTGACTTTAAACTGTATTATTTTTACTGGGCAAAAAGTCTAGTTTTATTTTAGTTGAAGACTAGACATGTCAGCTTGTGATAACCTAAATGTTATGCTTGATTTATAGTTCTTGTACCGCAGCGCCAAATGCAAAACTGTTTTAATTTTCTTCTGTGTATGTCTCCTCAACAGTGAGCACCAGTGGTGGCCGGTGGGCATGGTTTTAAAGGGTAGCTCAGAGGCACTGTGTCCCCCCCCTTCTCTGGAGCTGCGTCCATCCTGCAACAAGAGCCAGTCCTCACCTCCTTTGGACTCAAGCTCACAGCCACACAACGGAGTATTTCCTGAGGACAAGGAGCCTGTCAAGTATGGGGAACTCATCATACTGGGGTGAGATCATTTTGACTTGTTGGGTTAAAGTTTCAGTTTGGTTTTATGGTTTAGTATTTTCTGCAATGAAGCCTACATTAAGTTAATGGACTGTTTAGTCAATTATTTAGTTGTTTTGCTGCCAAAAATGAATGCCAAGAATGTAGAAAGTTTGCTTGGCTTTTTGCGTAAAATCAGTTTTTGTCCGCACAGCATAAAGGCGGAATTGGAAATACCCTCGTTCTCTCCGTCCATGCATGTTGTGAGCCTGATAAATTGAAAAATAAGCAAGGTACTGACTTCCATTTAGGCCTGTAGCTGCATCTAGGTGTAAGAAAGGTCACTATCAAAAATTGGGTTGCCATGTCAAAATCCAAGATAGCCACTGCTAGTGGTGGGCACAGCTAACCAACAAGTTAGCTTTGTTAACTGCTAATTTGCTAATTTAAAAAAATAGCTTCCCTACAACTTAACCACTAAACAGATTTAAAAAAATAGCAAAAGCTAATGCTAAAGCGCTAACTTTTATCATCCACTGCTGTCTGACTCTAAGACTGTCTGTGATGAGACAACGTTGTAAGTGAACAACTCAAAATGTTCATAAATCACAAGTAAAGTATACATGTCCTGTTCAGAGGTGAACTTTCAGAAATTAATCTGGTCCATCAGAACCAAATGTGGCAGAGCAGAACTCTGCTGCGCTGAAGCAGAGTGATGCATTCAATGTGTGTCGGACGTCTCCCTCGTGTCATCTACTATAATAAATTAACTCACTTTGATGATCCTCTTTGTGTTTAACTACTTTTATAAACTAACTACAGAGTTTCTGTGAATCATTAATATTCTCTCAATAATAAATCTGTTTGTATTAAAGTAAAGGTTTACAAAATGTGTGAGAGAGTCACGTCCCAGAGACGTTGTGAGCAGTGCAAAGCATGCTGGGTAAGAATTACGTGTGCAATGTTTCTGTATGTTTATGATGTATCTGAGTGTGAAAATGGTTTTTTTCATATTTTCCTGTTCTGGTTTGGCTTATTTATGTTAAAGTCTCTAGGCTGTAAACTGATACCATGAGTCAGAGACTGTTTGTGGTAAATATGAGGATGGGGGAGGGGGGGACACTATGAGGGTGGTGACGTAATTGGGTGGTGCTTACCTTAGCTTAGTCTTGCATAGCATCATGTCACTTTGCTTTGTCACGATTCAAAATTAATTCAGAGTCACCATTCTCCTGTACGCTTTTAGGATCGAGTCTGGTGATGGGTTTTAGGGTGGTCTTTAAAACAATTAGCAGACTTGAATTTACTGGATTTAAATTTCCTTTAAAAGGTATTCAGTTAGTGAAAACGCAAAGCCGCTAAACAGAACGTTAGTTCTGCTATTAGTGGATTAGCAAAATATCGGAACCGTGCCCACCACTGGCCACCATCATATATATATATATATATATATATATATATATATATATATATATATATATATATATAT